ATTGGTTATGAACGATGATCGTTCGTTAGCTCGCTCGTTCGCTCGATCGATCGATCAATCGATAGATCGATCGGGCACGCGTTACGACTAATACCATGAAGTAGGATCATGTCGTCAAGTAAACATATACATACATACATACATACATACACACACACACACACACACACATATATATATATATATATTTATTTACATCTTTTAGTTCGAACCTGTTAAGAACGAAGAAAAGAAAGTAAAGTAAGAAAAAGGAGAGAAGAAGTAAGATGGACTATTATGGTCCACTCGGTTTATGGGGATATGAAAAAAGTAAAAAAAGAAAAGAAAAAAAAGAATGGCACACACATATGGACACATACATATTGACAAGAACAAGCAGAGACAGAGAGACAGAGATAGAAATAGAGATAAAGAGTATATAAATATACATACACACACACACACACACATATATATATATATATATATGTACGTATATGTCGCCGGAGGGACGACGCTCATGGCATTCGAACGACCTTCGGATCTATTCTCGATATAACGTAATACCTAACCGGAGAACTTCCGTTCGAGTGTAAGTGCTCCATTTGCATCTATCGTAAGGCGGATAATCAGACCGTTCGCTTTCTCGCTACATGTCTCTTTCTCTCTCTCTCTCTCTCTCTTCTCTCTATATATATATATATATATATATATATATATATATCTTTAAATATGTATATATACATAAATACATATGTATGGTAGTACCTATCGAGTCTTGTAAACCGATCGACTGCCGAGTTCTTCGCATTCCATATTATTTTCCTCCTCTCTCTCTCTCTCTCTCTCTCTCTCTCTCTCTGTCTCACTCTCTTTACCTCATCTTCTCTTTCTCCTATCTCCCTCCCATACACATCGTATCTTTCCACCCCATTCCCCCAATTACCAGTTGACCACCTCATCTCTTCCCTATCAACTCATCTAAGTCTCGGGCAACCCCAACTATCATACACTTTTTTAATTTTTATATGCTTCTTTTATTATCGTTTATCTATCTTTTTCTTTTTATCTGTTTATTTTATTCCCTCTCTCTCTCTCTCTCTCTCTCTCTCTCTATATATATATATATATATATATATATATATATAAATATATATATGTCTCTGTCACTCTGTATCGCCTATTAACACGATGAAGGTTTTCATAACGCAAAGAGAAAAAGAAAAGGAATCTGATGAAATGTTTATTTATAATTTATCGTCAAATAATAATAATGATAATGATAATGATAATAATTCTCTATGGAGTCTCATTATAGAGGTGAATGTTTCGATACATATTATTTATTTATTTATTTATTTTATTTTTGCGTATTATCTTTTCATACCTTCGAATTAATAATAAATTTTATTAGGAACATATCGTTTATGACATATGATATATAATTACTATATTCTGTAATATATAATAAGGCAATTATAATATTATACATAGAGTATATATGGATATACGTAATCCTTATGTACATACGTACCTACATATGTATATATATATATATGTATGTATGTATGTATGTATGTATGTATGTATGTATGTAGACGTATAAGTAAATTATTTATGTATTTAACAAATAACCTTTGATATCATTTTGTCATTTATAATATTAATTAATCATACGTTATTTTATTATATATTTGAAAATTAATAATTATTTTTTTTCCCCCCTTCTTTTTCAATTATTGATTCAATACTTGACAATTTTAATTTTGTTAAGATTAATTATAGATCACGTAAAATACTAATTTAATTATTTATGTGAAATTAATAAAGTTATTTATAATAATATGATATAATTGTTTAGCTTTAATGTAATTAATATATTTATAATATATATAACTATATATATATATATATAATTTTTTTTTTAATTATATGTATATTTATGTAAATATGTTTGCGTGTATGTGTGTGCGTGTATGTATATTTTTAAAGAAGATAAATATCAAACGAGACAAGTCATCATTCGACTCTTGACAGATCTCGATGAAAGGGAGATGAATCGATATCTTTTAACACCTTCAAACCGCCTGCCATCTCTCTTTTAAAAGATCATATCATTAGACTTGTTAGGTATCATCTAACTCAATTTCAAATTCTTTATTATCAAATACTTATCAATTGGTGTCAGGGTTAATTACTTCATTATACATACATACATATATATATATATATATATATATATATATATATCTATATATTTGTTTATAATGAAAGAATTAATTACTCTTTAACAATAATAATAATAATAATAATAATAATGATGATAATAATAATAATAATAATAATAATAGTATGTTTGAAAAAATTAATTACACCATGTAAACAATTTATAGTATTATTTATATCATTATAGTTATATGTATATATATATATATAAATATAATATAAATAATATTACAAATTTTTCCCATAATATAATTTATATATACAAACATACACATATATATACACATATATATGTATATATATATATATATAAAGTTGCTTTTTTATTGATCAATTCTATCGATCATCGAATGATTGTCTTCCACATTAGTCGTTCATAAATATCGACACCGGTAGATATTCGGATTTTATTGATGGGGCTCGATCGAATCTTTTTTAAGACGAAAAGAAAGAAAGAGAAAGACAGACATACAGAAAGACATAGAGTGATAGAGAGAGACAGAGATAGAACATACATACATACATACTTATATATATTTATACACACATGCATACACATACTACATATATATATATATATATATATATACATATATATAGGGTTGTACGAAGAGCCGGAATCGCGATATTTGAGGCGAAGGATGCTTAATTGTATGAATAATGGAGCAGTCGTACCGAAAAAAGTAACCAAGTTCCTTCGAATACCATAAAGGAAGCGAAGAAGAGTTGGTTTAGGAAGAAAAAAAGAGAAAGAAGAAGAAGAAGAGGAAGAGGAGGAGGAGGAGGAGGAGGAGGAGGTGGAGGAGAAGAAGGTGGAGGTGGAGAAGTAGAAGGATGTGGAGGAGGAGGAGGAGGAGAAGGACAGAGACCAAAGATACCAGGGAGAGAGTTTCAAATGCGTAGTAGGTTCGATGGGTTTTCGATGGTGGATACAGGGATGCGGGGAGAGGGAGGGTATAACGAGTCCTATTGGATATAAGGGGAGTCAGAGGGAAGAGTTAAGGAATGGAGAAAAGGGGTGAAGGAAGAGTTCGAATGCTGCGACGTAGGGTAGGATAGAATGGACTGAGGTGGGGTGGAGTTGAGGTGGGATGGGGTTGTGGTGGGGTGGGATTGAAAGAAGAGAAACTACACATGCTGATCCAATACATTCCGTCTTTTTCTTTTCCATAAAAGAAGAGAATACGATCCTTACACCATTGAACTTGTATACCAACTTTACAACTCTATCCAGTGAGTGAGTGAACGAGTGAGTTAAGAAAAAAGAAGAGAGAGAATGAGAGAGAGAGAGAGAGAGAGAGAGAGATAGGGATACTCTTTTATCTTCGAATATGTTCTTTGAAATATATTTTGCGGCTTAACAAATGTAAAATATATTTTTTTCCTTTCGTCGTATCTTTTAAAAAACGAGAAAAATAATACTACAAGCGTATTGTATGATAAATTTTTGCGAATATTTAAAAGATGAGAAGGCAGGGTGAGTGGGAGAAGGGGAGAGAAAAAGAAAAAGAAAGAAACATGTATTAATGGCTTTGATCAAAACTTCAATCCTTATTTTCATTCATTTCTACGTATTAAAATTATTATTTAGTTATATTATTTAATAAAATTAATTTCTCACGTTGTCACGAATCGATCATATTTTTTTCATTATTATTATCGTTTAAGTATTATTACTCGTACGATCGTACACGATCGGATAATTTATTACATATATACATACATATATATATATATATATATATATATATATATATATACAAAAACAGAAAAATATGTATATATATATATATATATATATATATATATACATTATGATAATTCGTTCTATATTGTAATTGAAATTCCATTCTCGGATTGTAAAGAAGTTTCAAGAAACGAAAGTAAGAAGAAAAAAGAAAGAAAGAAACGAGAAAAGAAAAAGAAAGAAAGAGAGAGAGGGAGAGGGAGAGAGAGAGAGAGAGAGAGAGAGAGAGAGAGAAAGAAAAGGAAGAAATAAAAATACAACTTTAGTCGTCACTCATCATATTCCCATATTGAAAGCAAATCAACAACACTTTCTTGGTTGTCAGCACTTAAGTATATAAGGTGAAAACGTAAGTAGGTGTAGTCATGTTTTTTTTTCTTCTTCTTTTATTTTTTCTTCTTTCTTTTTTTTTTTTTTTTTTTCTTTCTTTGCGAGAGGAGAGAAGGGAGGTACGCGCGTGTGCGCGTGTGTTTATGATTGGTTAACTTAAAAATTTTCCTCTTTTATTTTTTTATTTTTTTTCTCTCTCTTCCTTTCCTTTTCACATTTCAAAACAGCAGTCAATAACAGCAGACAGAAATGAGGTATATAACATTGGAATTACGGTAATAGATCTTAGGGACAACTCCATTCATTCAAAGAGTTTAAGGTTAATCGTGTAATTTTTTCAATACTATGTATGTAAGTTTTTTTTTTTTTTTTTTTTTTTTTTTTTTCGAAACGACGACAACAGTGTACACGTATATCTGGATATGGTTGGATAAAAGGGAAAAAGAGAAGACCAAAAAAAGAAAAAGACCATAGGAGGAGGTAAACAGAGAAAGAGGAGGAGATAGAGAGAAAGAGAGAGAGAGAGAGAGAGAGAAAGAGAAATAGTAAGAAAAGTGGATAGACGGAGAAAGAGATACATGTCGCGTGGCAAACGATTTTCCCTCATGTGGAATGTTGATAAATAGTTGACTGTTGGTGGAACAGACCATAATCGGGAAGAATTTTTCTTGTCGCCAAGTTAAAGAGCAACTTTTTCAATGGACTTGACTTCACTTACCGAGCCATAAAGCAGACCGCAGGAATCCATGCAGAGGTAAAGGCAAGTCGCGACACCCTGGATTCTCAGTTGACCTCTCGACACCGAAGTCCTTTGAAAAATCGCTGCAAAAAGAATAAATAAATATATATATATATATATATATATACATACTATGTTACGAGAAATGAATAAGGTTAGAGGTAATAATAAAAAAAAAAAAAAAAGAGAATGAACGAAACAAAAATAAAGAAAAAAAAAAACAAGAGAGGAATAACAACAAAGGAAAAAGAAGAAGAAAAGAAAAAAAAGATACCCAGGCTTAACATATAGTTATATACCGATCGAAATTATGATGTCCATAATATATTATACATATGTAAGTATATATATATATATATATATATATATATATATATATACGTATATAGGTAATAATTTTGATCATCTTAAAAATATCCTTTCTTTCTTTCTTTCTTTCTTTTTCTCCCTTTTTTTTTCTCTCTCTATATAATAAAACTTATGGCAAAAGTTTGGTATAGAGATTATATTCAACGTTTGACATCATTATTTCATCATTTACTTTACATCATTATAACCAAGTGAGTTTACTTTACATCGTTATATGGCTGTTACCTTAAACCGTTCATTCCGCATTTAGCTTACACCATTATTCCGCGCTTACATTGCGTTTATTCCGATGGTTTTACTCTCTCTCTCTCTCTCTCTTTCTCTCTCAACCTACTCTCCCTTAACCTCTCTTTTACCTTACAACCATTATTATTACCCTTTATGGAAGCGCGAATATTATGGTACTAAAGTAACATAAGATACCATCAAATCCCTTACGATTACTATTTAATATTAATCTTACTATATTTAACGATTGGTCATACGTTTACATCGATGCATTATCATTAGTAATTACAAACTATTACAATGAAAATATTTTCTTTGTTAATCCATAATCAAAAACTTCAATCTAATTATACGTCGACGTAAATATTTGCGTTTGATTTTTTCTTTTTTTTTTCCTTCTCTTTTTTTTTCTTTTTTTTTTCTTTTTTTCGTTTTGTACAGAAAACGTCGAACGACGCGATCGGATCGATGTAGGGATAAAAGAAAAAAAAAAAAAACAGAAGAAATCACAGCATTATACGTCCTTAACACTATGTTGCTGCATCTACGAACGACTAAAAAAAAAAAAATCAAAAAAAAGAAAAAAAAAAAAAGAAAAAAGAAAAAAGAATTAAAAATAAATGAAAAGATTATTACTTCGACATTATATAGCCCCGACGACTAATAGACTTTCGTTTATAAAGTTGTTATCTTCGTAGTTTTCAAAATAAAAAGAAAATAAAAGTAAAGAAAAGAAAAGAAAAGAAAAAAAAAAGAAACGAAAAAAAAAGAAACGCAGACATTTTGGTAGATGATCAATGTTATTGGTCCCACCCTATTATAGTCTCTCTCTCTCTTTCTTTCTCTCGTCGGTAAATAAATTTCTTTAGCGACAATAGAGAGAAAGAAATAGAATCAAAAAACAAAAAAAAAAAGAAAAGAAAAAAGAGCAAAAAAATTATACGAAGCCAGAGAGAAACCAATCCTTGTGCAAAGGATCGTCTTGTGTCCATCTTCTTTTTTCTTTTTTTCTGGTCTTCTTTTTACTTTTTTCTTTTTTTTTCTTTTTTGTTTCTTTTTTGTTTCTTTTTTACACGCACGCAAAAATCTCGACTCCTTTTATCTCCGTTAAGAGAAAAAGATCCATAGATCTTCGTGCAAGACGAACGACATCTGAATTTGAAGATATTAATTCAATCTCTCTTTCTCTCAATATTATTTTCAATAGAATTTGATATTGATTTTTTGAATTAATGAAAGAAACGAGAAAAATAATATCTCAATAGTGGTAACGATCTCTTGAAAGATCTTTTTATTCGATAAAGGAGATCTTATCAGAACATATTGACAATTCGATCGATTTATCTTCGTTGCACAGAGTTGTATGACATTTTGAATGATGTTCCTAGATATTCTTCTTCTTTTTATTATTATTATTATTATTATTATTATTATTATTATTATTATTATTATTATTATTATTATTATTATTTTCTTTCTTTCTTTCTTCGTCTTCGAATCGAGATCAATTCAATCCTTTTCTTTTTAGAGAATTTTTGATCCATTTAACTTAAACAACATCATCTTTCCTATTTAATAAAATTCTCAATTTAACATCGAGCAAAAATTTTGATCGATTTATTAATTATTTGGTTGGAAACTATGAAACGGGCGTTTTTGTTTACTTTTGTTTTTATTTTCATTCAATGCCCGTTTCATGGTTTCCAACCTAATATATAAGTATTAGGTTGGAAACTATGAAACGGGCGTTTTTGTTTAGTTTTTCTTTTATTTTCATTCAACGTCCATTTCATGGTTTCCAACCTAATATATAAGTATTAGGTTGGAAACTATGAAACGGACGTTTTTGTTTAGTTTTTCTTTTATTTTCATTCAATGGCCATTTCATGGTTTCCAACCTAATATATAAGTATTAGGTTGGAAACTATGAAACGGGCGTTTTTGTTTAGTTTTTCTTTTATTTTCATTCAACGTCCATTTCATGGTTTCCAACCTAATATATAAGTATTAGGTTGGAAACTATGAAACGGACGTTTTTGTTTAGTTTTTCTTTTATTTTCATTCAACGTCCATTTCATGGTTTCCAACCTAATATATAAGTATTAGGTTGGAAACTATGAAACGGGCGTTTTTGTTTAGTTTTTCTTTTATTTTCATTCAACGTCCATTTCATGGTTTCCAACTTAATATATAAGTATTAGGTTGGAAACTATGAAACGGGCGTTTTTGTTTAGTTTTTCTTTTATTTTCATTCAACGCCCGTTTCATGGTTTCCAACCTAATATCTTTTTTCTCCCCCTTTTCCCTTACCATTTAGATCTAGGAACTTTTTTGCCATTCAATCTAGTAACTTTTAATCTTCTACAACGTTAGACCCAATAGATTAGAGACGAAAGAATTTAATATATTTATTAGTTATAATATTTTATCGAGATATATATATATATATATATATATATATATATATATATATATATATATTTTGTTCGGGGAAGGAAGGTGAGGAAAAACAAAAGAAACAAAAAAAAAAAAGGAAGGAAGAGGATTTAACAGTCGTTAGTTTTATTACGTTCAAGGATATCCTTGAACGAGATAAATCCGATTCGTGAAAGTAAAGCGATCGGTATAGTTGAAGAGAAATAAGAATAAGAGATATAAGAAGAAGGATAAGAATAAGAAGAAGAAGAAGAGGAAGAAGAAGAAGAAGAAGAGGAAGAAGAAGAAGAAGGAGGAGAAGGGGAAGGAAAGAAGAAAGAAGAATCGTTAACTCTGGTGTCGTAATACGATGTTACATTCTCAAGGAACTCTCTCTCTCTCTCTCTCTTTTTCTCTCTTTCTCTTTCTCTTGGATCGAGCTTAAGTGGAGACCATTAAAAGAAGAAGCTCCGTAAAAATGGCGGATGGCAAGATAACGCGCGTGCTTACAATGAGAAATCGCCCTTGTTATAGACGAAGAGAGAGTGTGTGTAAGAGAGAGAGAGAGAGAGAGAAAGAGAGAGAAAATGAAAGTTAGCGCGTTCAGTATAGTGCGTACGTACGTTTGTATGCGTGTATGTGTCAGTGAAAGAGAAAGAGAAAGAGAGAGAGAGAGAGAGAGGTAGTAAAACTCAGCGGTACGTTTAAAGCCAAGTACTTATCTTTCTCCTTTTTTTTTCTTTTTTTCTATGATGATAAAGAAAGACAGAGAGAGAGAGAGAGAGAGAAAGAGAAAGAGAAAGAGAGAGAGAGAGAGAGAGAGATAACAAGCTGTTCTAAGCACAATTAGGTAGAAATAATCGTGCTTTGCCAAGGTAGAATCCAGGCTGCTGTTGTTAGTTATCCCTACCATCTGGTTGGAAAATCGATGATGATAGGATCTCCACCGAAGGTATTATTACGATCAAAAGAGAGTAAGAGAGAGAGAGAGAGAGAGAGTGAAAAAGAGAGAGAGAGAGAGAGAGATATCCATATTACTCTGAAGAGAGTACCAAGAGTACCAACCGATCTTAAAAGAAGAAAGGGATGCTCGCTAATCGGTGCGGCACGATTTCTAAAGGGAGGTGGGCAACATGATTGCATGTCTTATTGAAATCAAGTTACACGATTCCTGTTCACGGCTTTATAGAGATTTTACGATAACCTTTATGTATAGTCGAAAGAAGTATATATATGTATATGTATATGTATATGTGTATGTGTATGTATATGTATATGTATATGTAATGAAAAAATATATTTTTTTTTTACCAGTACACTTATAAATATGTAATATGTAATATATATATATATATATATATATATATATATGATATATATATGATATAATAAATGGTTTGATACTTTAGCCTGAAACACCTTGATATTTTCAAGGGTAATTTTAAAAAATCAATTAATAGACTATTCCTTCGGGAGATTCATTTTGGAGATTGATCTTTATTTTCTTTTTTTCCATTCTCTTTTTCGTTTTTCTTTTATCTTTTTTATCCTATCAGATCTTGCAAAATTGCAAATTCTCGGAAGGGACATTAACGCTCGACCATAATGCATCATAAATATCATTATTATTATTATTATTATTATTATTATTATTATTATTATTTTTATTTTCATCGATATTAATATCTATACGTACTTATATACATATACATATATATATATATATCGAAAAGTATATCGTAATATATAAATCATATTTATGATAATATATTTTTCAATGATAACCTTTATTTATTATACAATTTTATGTAATACGAATTATCATTATAATTATATTTACAATACATATACATACATATATATATATATATATATATATATATATATATAACTAATACATTATATACCGTCACGTGATTTGTTTAGAAAAAAAGAAAACAAAAAAAAAAGAAGAAAAGAAAAAATAAAGAAAGCAATGAATACAATTTTCCTTAACTACTTCCTACATTTTTGATCCTACATCAAGAGCATATAAAATAGAACGCATAAGTTATCCATTAGCAGCCATGTA